TGTGTCTCTGAGTCTATATAAATCTAACCTCTGGTGTATCTGGTGCAGTATTGTTTCTTGAGACTGGCTGTGGTTTCTATATGGCAGACAGTTTTGAACCTTACAGTATACATAATATGCATGCAAACTCTGCTAGGTCTATCACAAAGCTGTGGGCCTTCCAATAGCAGGGATGATACTCATTTTCCTAGCAAATGAAGTCAGCTAGTCTGTACCATTTGTAGAAGCAGTGGTTGAAAGACTGGGGTGGAGAAGGGTGGAAACTGGAGTGATTTTTTTCCACAGTAAAGATATTAATGCACCCTTCTTAGGTTGTTGGTTGTTTTTTAAGGTCTTCAGAGGTGTGCCCTCTGGGCCTGGTACAATGAAGGCATGAGTGAACAGAGTTAGATGACTCATGTGCACATGACTTCCAGCAATTGTGCCAAAGTTCCTGCAGCAATAATGTCCATTTCCTACCATGTTTGGTAAGAAGAGAAAGAAGGAAAGAGATGCTCTTCCAGTGGCCTTGGAATAACCAGAGGACTGTGTGGGAGTAATTAACACTTAAAAGTTGGGCTTGAACTGCTCTGGTAGGATGTTGTAGTTGCTCAGATCACAGTCAGTTAACGTTGGAGAATTTCCATCATTTCCAATGGGATTTCCCTACATTGAGAAGGGAAGATGCTGAAACCTCTCTTCCAGCCTGAGTTTTTCTTTTCTTTTAAAACCCCTCTTATTCACATGGGGATTAATTCCAGTCTTGGGACCACCCACAGGAGACAATATTTATTACATCATTTTTATTATTTATTACATTTATTATTTACTACATTTGTATACTACCTTTATAGTCCAAGGATCTCAAGATGGCATACATGGTTTACAAGGCGGCGTGTTGTTGTTGTTTAGTCATTTAGTCGTGTCCGACTCTTCATGACCCCATGGACCAGAGCACGCCAGGCACTTCTGTCCTCCACTGCCTCCCGCAGTTTGATCAAATTCATGCTGGTAACTTCAAGAACACCATCCAACCATCTCATCCTCTGTCGTCCCCTTCTCCTTGTGGCCTCCATCTTTCCCAACATCAGGGTCTTTTCCAGGGAGTCTTCTCTTCTCATGAGGTGACCAAAGTATTGGAGCCTCAGCTTCAGGATCTGTCCTTCCAGTGAGCACTCAGGGCTGATTTCCTTAAGAATGGATACGTTTGATCTTCTTGCAGTCCATGGGACTCTCAAGAGTCTCCTCCAGCACCATAATTCAAAAGCATCAATTCTTCGGCGATCACAAGGTGGCGTAAACTACTTCAAAATAGCAGTTTGGGTAAGGAGGGAGATTTGAGCACCTTCCTATCGGTGCCTAACACTCTTTAAATAGCAGCCTAAGCCTACCCCATCTCCTTTATAGAGATTCTCTGGCAGACCAGATTCTGATGTATGAGCCAATGGCTCCAGATTAACCTAGCTGAAATGGGTTCCACTGGTTTCAGTGGGTCCCAATATATCATATCTTTGAAATCAGTGGGAGCCACTCATGTCAATTGGACTTAAGTTCAGTTAACAGGGTTGACACTTTAAGTCATTATGTGAGTGGAATGACTTCTCCTGAACATTCTGCCCCCCAAATTTGCTCTTGGGGGTGAAGGAAACCCTGGAGCATATTTGCTGTGTGGTGTGTGTGTGTGTGTGTGTGTAGGAACATATGCGTGGTGGCGATAGGAGAGGAAGTTCCACTGCACAAACAGAAGTCGTTCCACTTGCACAATGACTTACCTGGAGCCAACCCACTGTCTCGTTTTGGTCCTAGGCTTCAGAGTCTTTTTCTGAAAAACCCCGTGCTGCAGGAGTCAAATGACTGGGGTTAGTTAAACAGGATGGCCTTAGTTGGGTGAAATTTCTTGTGGGCATCTGAATGAGGTGACTTCAGTCTGAAACAGAAGGCTGAGCTCAGTTAGGCCCCGCTAACCTGGCATTTCTTCTCTCTCCTCTGCGAAGCTAATCAAAGTTCTCAAGGACAAACTCATAAAAAAAAAAACCACCAGCAAATGGAAAGGCTTTTATGCTCACCTAGAATTGACCCTGGCTCAAGTCCCAATGCACAGCTGGGAACAGTAAGAATAAAATAGTAACAGGGCATGTTTGACAATGCCACAACCTCGTCCCGCGGATCTGAATAGTTTTTACATTTCTTAGGAGCGGCAGCTGATTTATTTTATATGAAATCTATTTACATTAGGAATGGTAATTACTCTGCTATTGAGGTGGGGAAATGGAAAAAAATAAATCTTCCGTAGGGCGGTTTCGAGCTGAAGGGAATCAACCCATAGATCTTTATTAAACAATAGCTTGCTTCCTAATGGGAAGCGAAGGCTGATTTGTTTTCCTTCTTGTTTACAGCTGCCATATGCTGTACCGCCAAGTCATTATCATGAGTCTGTTGTTTACCTTAAACAGAGTGTACAGCAGGGGAAAGTGAGGAGGGTCGAGGTCCTTGAGCAGCAGGGGGCGGATAAAGAAAATCGGAGATCAGTAGAAGGTCTTTGTTTAACTTTTCTTGTTGTTGTTCACAGAAAATGGGTCACAAGGTAATGTTTTCTCTCTGGGTTTATATGGTCATTTCCCTTCCCTCTGCAAACTGTCCCTGGGTACACGATTATGTAGTGAATTTCCCCACATCTCACCAAGCTATATACTGCTGTGGTTTTTTGTGGGGGGGAATCAGACAGCTCTAAAAAGTGCTGGTCCAATTGTTCAAACATTTTTCAAAAGGGAGTTTGCATGCAAAGGAGGGGAAAATAGGGTTGGTTATAACATACACAGTACCATTGTGAAATCTTTCTGGAGATCGTTTAAAGAGGGTTTCTTTCTCAAGAAGCATTTTTAGGGCATTCTGGTGTCTTTTGAGATACACCGAATAGCCGAGGGCTGCAGTTTAATCCATAATGGTTGGTCAAAGAGCAGTTCGGTTTAGCAACACCCCAAGCAGAAACAAGTGTAGCACCTTTGTGATTGGCATTTTCCTGCAGTGCCAAGGAAATGTTCCTGCAAAGAAACCCGGTGGCAAAAGGCTGTGTGCATGATACACATTTAAAGTATGCTAGAAGGACATTTCCCACCTCAAATAATTATCTGCGTATTGTAGGTTGTTAAGGGTTGCTTGGAATTGGAATTCTGAGGGGTTAACTACAGTGCCCAGAACTCTTTGGGGGAAAGAATGTGCTTTGAATGTGTGTCTGCAGCTCTGGTTTGTAGTTTTGTGCACATGGGTACAGTAGCCAGCATTGCTTATTTTAAGGCAAATAATTTCATTATTAGTAAGGGCCTCAGTGGCTGCCACACCAGCTCTGTGTCTTTGATTTCCTTGTTTTTTATAGAGTCCAGGCGATGAAGAAATTGTCAAATTGTCACAATCCTGTGTTTTTATTTGTCATCCTAGGTATTTTCCAGGTCTGTTCATGTTGACTCTTTTGGCGGGCGGGACATTATACTTTTGCAAACAATTGTAGCACCAGCTTGTCTGTTGTGGAAAATCTCTTTCTCAAAAAGGAAGCAGTAAAACAGGCAGGAACTGCAACATTAAGCTTTTAATTAAATATTGGAATGGGCAGGGAGTCAACATTTTGGGTGGATTTCAGTGCTGCCCATGTTTGAGTTCGAGGCAATGGGACTTTTCCTTTCTCTCCTTCATCTGCAATCCCACGTGCACCCCAAATATTTGCTCTGGAAGTTTGGGAGATGCTTGCCTTGAGATAATGGATCTGTCAGCCTTTAAGGTGCCACAGATCTCTATTTGCATACATAGTCATGAAGCAACCATGAGTCCCTGGTTTATTTTCGATATTTATGCAAACCCCCATAGTGGTGACTCCAGAGCAGGTATCAGACAAGCTGCCCAGTAGCTACTGCATTGTACAAAAGAACAAAGTAGCCAGGGATAACATCGCAGCTCCCTGGTGGGATTTTTGACTTCTAATGCTAAGGGAAGCAAAACCCTTCACAATATGGCTGGCTGAGATAAATGGCCACTGGCTGCTATGTGCAAAGGGGAGGCATAACCACACTGTGCCTTGACCAGTATTTACATAAAGATTCCCATCAAAGCCAAACAAGAAATAAATACCACCAGCAAGGTTTTCCGCCCTTCTTGAACAGAGACAGATACCAGAGAAAGTAATGCAGGCCATCTTTCAGAACTGATAAATGTTTTAAATCATATTTTTTAAAGCTGAGAGCTGTGAGCTATGTGACTTTTTAAAGTACCTTGCGCCGTAAGCAGGGCACAGCTATGGACCCCAGTATCTGTTGGACTTCTTGTACTGAACCTCTTCCTGTTCACATCATCAGAGGCTGTTCTCTTATTTGTGCCAATATGAATGGGGAGAGAGTATTTTTCAGGGTGGCACCTTCTGCAGTGCTTTTGCTAGGGAGAATTTGTTCGGTGCTTTTCTTGATGTGATTTCAACATCGCACAAATACCTTTCCCCCCCGTCTTTTTAATCTTGTAAGCGGAAGAGGGTAGCGTATTTTATTGTGCCTTTATCTACTATGTCTTACAGCTATTTTCAAATTAGTGTGGTTTATTGTGTTTGCTATGTGTATCATTTTTTCATGTAAGTGAAAGGCTGAAGGCAAAGAATAAATGTAGAAAATAAGCAGCAAGTGATCTGTAGTTTTCTTCCAAAATGCTCTGTTAAACTAATCCGCATTTGCCAGAGGTGATTTAAAAGCCCATGGCTTACTCAAACACTTATGCATTGTTGCAGCTGAGTATTTGACATTGGAGTACCTAAACCTATGGTAACCACAGGGGAAGTAATACCCTGGACCTTTGTTCTTTTTGCAGATGTGGAAACTCTAGGACCATGAAACTGACTTCTATAGCTCTATTGTGAAATCAAACAAATTGACCAATGGCACTTTGAGAAGTATGGCAGTCAGATGGGCGGGCAGGATCTCAGTGACTAATACAGACAGGTTTTCCTGTCTTAAGAGAAATAGATTTAATTGAAATAATTCAACAGCTTGGTTTCAACTTTTTTTTTTTAATTCATCTGTGAAAATACTATATTTGAAGTGAAACTAATAAAATACCAGAGAAACTGTGAGCATTGTGACTTGTTACAGCCACATAAAGCGTTTTCACCTTCATGGAGTTCAAGCCAAGATTTATGCTTATGTGCAGCGAAAAGGCAATATAAACATTTAAATCATTATATATGTGCAATCTTGGAATACAATCGTAATGGTGTCTTTAAAACCAGTGGACATAAAATCAAATGTTTACAAAGCAAAGAAGGATATATGCCTTTTTTAAAAAAGGGAAGGTCCACAAACATCTACATCGTGGATATTTTAAAAGAATTGAAAGAATAAAAATTTGCCCAACACATAAAATACCACAAAAGAGTAATCTCATTTCAAACAAATAATCCTACAAAAGCACAACCATAAATTACATTAAAATTTAACCACTGCCCTTAAAATTAAAGAATGATGCTTTAGGAAAATATGAGCATGATCCAGCCAAACTGAAGGACACTTGCATCTCACTGATTTCAATGAGAGAGAAACACATTAAATAGCATGGAAATCAATGAGGTATGAAAGTGCAGAACTTTTGTTGGATTGTGTCCCATTTTTACAAAAATCTCCCCTAGCTTAAAAATCAGATGATACTTTATGTATCTCAGATTCCCGCTTGAGGCCTGATCCTGTGGGCTTGCCACCCACCTCCAGAGCACACAGACCAAGAAGGAAACATCTCCCCTCACATCAGTGCTTGGGACAGGATCAAGCTCAGCAGCAGGCTGCTAGTGCTTCCTTCAGAGCTCCTGCTGTTCATGGCAGCATAGGTTGTGGTGGGAAGGTAGAAAAACAGGGCTAAGCACGCCTTGCGGTCTGCTGGCCTTGTAGACGCTAAAGCAAAGGCTTGCCTGTCATGTGACTGAGAGGAGCAACGGGAACTGTTTTCTGAGAAGTGGGTCAGAATCTGTGCATAAGCTTGCACTGCGTCAGCACAAATGAGACTATTTAACAGCTTAAGCCAGCACACAGGATCTAGAGTGATGGATGTTTCTTTGTCTTCATTGGTATCTAAATGCAGCACAAATGTGTGAACATTTCTTTCACGTGGAATCAAGCCGTAGCATCACGAACATGTCATCAAGGTAAAGTACAGGCACTTGACAGTATAATGTGCAAGGCATAACCCCTACCTATCACAGTATAAGGAAGCTTCCACAGGTGGTGAACACTGAGCTTCTAACCACCTTTGCCCCATCGTTCCTGGTTTTTCTTTCCAAGACAGAGCTCAGTGCCAACGTCCCACAATTCAGCTCCTGCTGTATGAAGGCCCTCCAAAGGACTGTAAACTATAGAAATCTTTGCATAAAGAAAATGGCTATATTCTGCAATTATATCTAAGACATAAAATTCAGAACATGGTCTAGCCAAAGTTAAGCAGTGTTAAGTCTTACTTATTTCTATGTGTGAAAGTTAAACATGCATTTCACTTTTCCATTCAACCGAATGAGACTTACAAGCGTCAGCTTTGACTGGTTTGCATCCTCTGCTTTTAACTTGCCTAAACAAATCTGCATTTTTCAATACAGGTTCAGTTTGTGTGACAGCTGAAAATACCAACCCTACAAAGCACAATATTGTATTGCCATAGCAAGCGGGTACAGTTTGGTGTTGGAAAGGATACAAACTTTTTGTGGCCTCCTGCCAAAATAGCACAAACGCTATTGGCTTCAAATATATTTCGGGGGGGGGAGGAGCAAGAAGAGTTGGACTAATAGTGCAATTCCAAGCTGCAGGCTACTTGTACAGAACAGGAGGACAGCTCTTGTTCCACAAGCACTCTCTAGCTGTGACAGACGAGTCCACAGAATCCTGCAACCTGCACAAGAGTACTGTAAAATCTTTGGTTTGTATCCACCAGTGACAGAAACTTTACCATCAGCTGTTGTCACTGGGTGACAACTTTTTATGTGGAATGGGCTATTAAATTATGAAAACATAAAATGGATAGTCTGCATAGTTATAAAACATTTCATTTTGTTTAAAAATTGCTGATCTCACTGGAAGCAAGTCTTGAATTTTTTAAAGGTGTCCATATTGCTGAATAAGGTACAAGCTGGGGTACATAGGCTCAGCATCAGTATCAAGTAAAGATTCATAATTTGGGACAAATAGTTAAGTCTAGCATCTTGGATTGATATTTGTTTTACAGAGTATTAAACAAGTGTCCATAAGGAACAAGGAAGTAATTAAAAGGTTTGAGCATTTATGGTGCAGTATTATAGAACAAGGCACTTTTAACATGTTTTTTTCATATTCAGATCAGTAATAGTGGCAGCTAGACAAACAGATGGCTCTCTGGTGACTCCTGTCTACTATTTTTCCTCTTTTACTGACAATTTGCTACTTTCATCCAAGTAGTGTCAGGGTTAAGACTTCCTTTTGCAAGAACTGAAGAATTGGGCAAAATCATTCTGAGCCAGTTAGATCTCCAGCCATTGAAGGAAGTTGTACGCAGAGCCAAGTCATAAGAAATGAAAGTTGTGGTGCTCGGTTATTCTGACCATTAACAATTTGTTTTCTATGCAGCAAAGATTATCTTGTGTCATATAGCTAAATGTTAGAATTTGGCTATCACAGATGCAAAAATGGCACACATGTAACACATATGTGTATATCTTATGTTATGGTTGAAAGGAGACATTAAATTGATGTATTGGACTTCTTCTGTCACAGTGGTGTGAGTACACTGAATTACAGTGCCTTTATGTCACTCCAATCTCATAAATTGGACAATTTTAAATAAAATGGATAGGTAAAAGTACTTGGGGGTGTGAGATACCCTAAACTTTACCTATAGTACATTTCCAACTTCCCATGTGCACTATAATGCATAGCTCTTTGTTATTAATAAAAAAGTAGCAGCAACCAGTAAGACTAAACCTCACAACAGCAAATACACATACTTAAATAACCCTTGTACATAGCAGAGACAGAGCATTAACTACTGTCATTCTGTAAATGCCAAGAGAACATCAAACACGTCCTGCAAAAGAGCAACATGGAGTCATAGTTTGAGGGAATGGGGACAGAAGGAAAAAAGCAATGATAACCCTTCAAACAGATAGTTTTCTGACAACTGGGCCTGATTCCTACATTTCCTAAATGATATAGTAGATGCTGACAACACTCATAGTCATAAGGGTAGGCTCCCTACTGCATTGGTAATGCACACAGAGACCCATTTCAGACTGTACTAGTATAGAAAGTACCTGTGTGACCTAGGTTATTGAGGCGATGGGCCCTTTTGTATGTTGTTACTGCAATGTGAAGCCCAAGCATATAAAAGCTACTTTTGTTGCCTGCTACAGCACTTAGGGAATACATAAATCAGATCTTAGCGGTCACCTCATTCATCTGTGGTTATGTGGTTTTGGATGATTGCAAACCTGTTTTAGCCATATTATTGATTAATCAACATAATACACGGAAGCCTGAAATTCATCAGCGAAGATTTTGTAACGGAAGAAGAAAGACGTATGTGTGGGGTTCTTACAAGTCATGTGCAATTCAGGACTTTAGGGGAAATGCAGGATCTTCGGCGTTCCAGCCTGAGAATCATGTGTTCATGTTCAGGACAATGAAAGCAATGTATCAAGCTGAAACAATGCAGTGCCAAACGGCAAATCAGCACTTTTACACAACAGGGTCAGCATTCAAAATATAGATCTTTGATGTCTGAAAACTAGGAAAGAGAGAACTTCAAACTAGAGAAGTTCTTATGTAAGGCAGTCAAATATTCAACCAGTGTATACATTCATTAAATTGTGGGGTTTTGTTTTGTTTTTTAAAAAAGCGAGCCAAGGTGCTATAGAATATGTGTGAAATATAGGCACAAAGTAGGTGCTCGACTTCATTCAATATGGAAAACGGAAGAACTAAGAAACTTAGGATAAGGTGAGCAGATGGTTGGACAATTGGAATACTCTTCTGTAAAGGTGCAATATTAAGCAGTTTTGATTTTGGTTTGAAGATATACATAACCATGTCGCTTATCATCACTTATAGAACATTTCACATTTTGTATGTCATTCTAGTTCTTCCCAGTTATCAGTAAGGTTGCCTTTGCTCTGTCGCCTTATGCTAACCAACCTTCCAGCTGATCTGATGCTCCATCTTGACGTATTTCCTGAGCTTGCCAGGTTGGTGTATTTTGTGGAGCCTTTGGTTTCGTCTTCCCAACCTGACCAAGATGGATAGTCACTCAGAGTACTTCCTGCGTCGCTGAGGTTATCACTGGCAGGGATCTGTGGTGGCTCCCATCCTTCAATTTCATCTGGCTTCCTGGACTGGATGTTCTGTTTTATCACCAAACTGTCCCAAAATCCAGCTTTCTTTTCGGATTTCACATCCTCTTTTAATTTTAAGCTTGTTCTAGGGAAAAATAAAAAATTGTTCTTATTGGAACACATTTCAGGGGAAGAAAGTTTGACATATTTACTTTTAAGACAGAGGAAGACCAGAACAATTTTGTCGTTATCCTTGTATAACTGATCAGGTCTCACTAGAAATGTATTTTTATTTAAACATTTTACATTTCTACTCTAGAAAAATGGCTAAACAGAGAATAAAATAATACAGAATTTATCAGAACGGAATACATTATTATGTATAAAACTTGTATCCTACCCTTTCTCCCAAAGGAGAAAGAGAAGCTGTAGATTCCTATGTGCAACCAGCATAAGTTTCACAAGGAATAGTGTTGATGATCTGTGTGTGAAAGGTAAGGTAGGCAATGCACATGTGTCTGTCATTTTGGGCTTATCTGCTCCTCTATTTGATACCATAATGAGCATATTGTTTCAATTGAAACTTATAGAATTTTTATCAGATGGTTGAAAGACAAAGACTGACTTGTGCTGATGGCCCTCAAAAGAAGATTATGTACTTTCCTTCCACTCAACTGTCTTTAAAAAATCTGACTGCACTTCAGTAGATTGTCTACAATAACTGCTTTTTCTGCCACATGTGGATCCTTAATTTAAACAGAATCTTACAAGCTGAAAAATAATATAAATGTGATGTAAGAACTGTCTTGCCTCCTAAAATTTACATTGTTTTTTTACCTGATTATCTTGATTCTATCCTTAACACCTCTAGCAGCCTTGGTACTTCCATAATTTACTCCATATTTATATCACTTCCCACTCCCCATTATACATACCCTTTAGATTTTGGAGATTTACATCCTGTAAGTAACTGTTGTTCATCATCCTTATTAAATATGGATGTTACTTCCTTCCAACCTCGAAAACCTGCTCCTTGAACCTAAAAATGAGAGTTTTACAAATTAATTTAATGTATGCAAAATATAAGGTAGGTAAAGGTAAAATTTAATGTATGCAAACTATAAGGTAGGTAAAGGTAAAATTTAAGGTATGCAAAATATAAGGTAGGTAAAGGACCCCTGGACAGTTAAGTCCAGTCAAAGGCAACTATGGGGTGCGGTGCTCATCTCACTTAAGGCTGAGGGAGCCGGCGTTTGTCTGCAGACAGCTTTCTGGGTTATGTGGCCAACATGACTAAACCGCTTCTGGCACAATGGAACACCGTGACGGAAGCCAGAGCGCATGGAAATGCCATTTACAAAATACAACACCGCTGAAGAAAATGGCACATTAAACCATAGTTAAAAACAAATTATGGTTTAATGCATACGTACAGTATACTAGTACGTGCTGCTGAAAAGTTTTTGCTTCGTTCTCCCCACAATCCTGGCAGAACGATAATGTCAGCATGTTAGATCTCTAAAGTAACTTTGCATTAAAACTGAACAACTGCCAAACATGAACCCTCATTAGGATTCCTGCTCTCAAAGGGGATTTTTGTTTATTCTCTCTGCTCCATCAATTGTGACCCAGGGAGAATGCAAGAGAGCCTTGGCTACTAACTCAAATGATGGGACTTTGAAATGTTAAATATGCGTGTTTAACTCTCCAACACTAATCAGGAGTTAGCTATGAATATTTTTGATTCATTTCTTTGCCTTCAAGAATTATGTCTTCATTTTGATCCATAATGTGGATATTTAAATGCATAGTTCCAAAATCCACATTAGGTTAATACACGTATCAGACCAACCAAGATGTCACAGAATAATGTAGAAGTTTTTGAGTTCTTGATAACTCTTTATTGGGATAGCTGGCAAAATAAAGCAGGGAAGGGGAGGGAGAAAACCTCTGGTGTTGAAAGCATGGAGGCTGCATTTAGTTGCAGTCTTAAAATGGAAGGTGGGAGGTAGGAGACATTTAAATTAGGCTCTTCTAGTTGGTATGTAGGTTTCAGGTTGCACCTATGACTGCTGGAATGAAGAAATTACATCAGCTGCGCCTCCATTTTTTAAAGTAAAAAAAATAAAAACCCACCTGTTAACCAAATGTTTAAAAGTTTCTTACTGAGTTAAAGCCTATTGCCACTCATTTGCTAATCTGTTCACAGATATTATCAGGTTGAAAGTGTTGTTATAAAAGAAGGCTATAAACTGCTGCGTACTGTAATGAAACCAAGGAATTCTCAATTGTCTTTAGAGCCGATCACCTTTGCTGATAAGAGTACTCACTTGAGGTAGTGGAAATTACCAGATTATTTTACAATAGGGAAGCTTTTACAGTGGGATAGGTTCCTTTTTTGTTTGTTCGAGAAGACAGTATGACAGAGGAGCCTGAGAGAATAGCCATTCCAGATTCCCAGCTGTCTTTCTTTAAAAAAATAAAAAATAGGAAGTCTCTAGCCCTTGTAGAACCCAAGGTGCAAAGCAAAATGGGCCTAACCTGTTCGTGAGTTTTGAGAGAAATCAGCTGGCTCCCACATTTCAGTCTTTATAGCCAATGAATAGTCACAGCAATCACTGATATTTGGAGAAATATTGTGGCACATTTCAAAAATGCTACCACCCTGTATGGAGCACTGAGATCTTCTTGCTTGCCCTGATTATGGCTAGAGTATGAAAGCATCTTTTCACCATACTTGGCTTACCTTGCAACATAGCCTCCTGGAGTATTTCATACAAAACAAGGCCAGCTAGGGCTCTTGATGCATGCCTTAAATTAACTACAGAATCCATTCTAGCTATTCTGCAATCCATTCCATGCAGTGGCGTGAATTTTCTGGAGGGGAACCACTTGGTTCTGTTCACCCCTACTTGGCTGATGACATAAAACATCAAATTTGTTGCCTTTACGGCTAAGGTTACTGAATGCACACTGAAATTCACCTCAAGCTTGGTTGCCTTCTACACTGAGGCAAATGGGGCATACCAAGAGGTTCCTCTGCTGTGAACTATTAACAGGAAGCAACCAATTGGGTGTGCAACCAAACCATGTGTGTGGCATGCTGCTGTGCAGGATTTAAGTACCTCCATTCTACCAGCATTCTTTGTCCACTAAGTACACTCAGTCTTTATTGGTCTGCTTAGCTTGGGGGGTGGGCGTGTTCTAAAGATATTTTGTACTTCCGCAAACCTCAAGGTTCCCCCATGCTTGCTGATACCTCACTCTAGCATATAGGTTGTGCTGTTTTAAACATGTTGCCATGTGGAGTGCTCCTTCTACTGTTCCAAGTCAGCCGTCCATACTCCCATTCCACTCTCCTGTCACCTGTCCTGGCCAAAGGGTCAACATCCATGGCCACTTTTAGGAACTGCTGAGCACTGCTCCATGAGATGAGCCACGTAACTGCAGCCTCTCAAGTAGGAACTTTCCAGTTCTGGTCTGGCTCTATCTGCTCAGGTTGGCCATTGTCTCCTGCAGGCTAGGAAGGTTTATAAAGAACTAGTTTATCCCCCCCAGTTGGGCTTTGCTTAGAGCAACAAGGCGTTCATAAACTCTATCTGGTCTTGCATTTCTGTTCTTGCTCCTTCATCCTGGCTCTAAGCTTGTTCTCTAGCCCTTCCTCCTAGTTGCCTTAAGATCCTGATTGCCCTTGGCTCCTAGTTCTCAGCTTCTGAGTCTCTTCAGACTGCTGCTCATGGCCCATTCAACCATTGTTCACCAACCTTTGGAAGGCTAGTGGACACATTTGAAATTTCCTGAGAGTGGTGTCAATGCCAGTTGCATAATTGCTGCCATGGGATTGTGGCATAACACATAATAGCTGCACAACTAAAAGAGCAGAGAAAGAGACAGGGCCACAAAAATGGTACTACTTGCATGTCCTACCGCCATCAACGGGAGAAAGGAACAACTGCACTTGCTCACAGAAGCTATTTGCACCTCCCCTCTGTCCAGAATGGGAAAGGAAAGGTGCACATCCAATCCTGGCATTCGATGAAATGTGGCTATGTTTAAGGAATAGGGATGCAGTGTAGGAGATACCAAGCCAGTGCAAACGGGAACTGAGTAGGAAGAGCAAATAATATCCCATGCATTGTAGATTTCTAAGGGAATACTTAAAGAATATGTGGGTGCTATTTAAGGAATTAACACACACACTCACGGGTGCTATTCTGGTGCCCCCTAGAGTACACTATGGGAGCCTTTTAAAATCCAAATGTAAAACTTAATTTAAATTGACTTATTTCCCCTGAAGGTTCAAATAATTCAGTGCTACACTATATAATTTCAGCCTTATGAAGCAATATCATCATTACTATTACTAGTAGTAGCAGAAGTAGTAGATGAGCAAGTATAATACATTATATTGTTTTCATGACTGATTTTTCACAAGTGTGCTTGAACTGATTGTGTAGTGAAAGTCTAACTGAAGATTCTTGAGAGGCCATTTTGTCTTCTTATTTTTCAACTTCACACAGCTTCTTGGAGCAGGTTTCTATACTTTCAGTAGCCAACTTCCCAGCTCCCCAAAATAATCTTCTGCCATCAAGTAATTGTAATTTAATGAGCACAGCTTGTGAAACAAGAAATATGAACAGCTATGTGTCACTGTTAAAGGAAAACAGATGAGGATGACAATTTTGATTCTACTTGTATCAGCAGTGAAATCAAGAGGCCCTGAATCATAAGGTACATCAGCTTAAAAAATAATAATAATCCAAATGTGCTGCTCAAGTTATAACATGTGCATGACAAACCTTCCCTGAAAGCATTTTGTTCGAGATAGGAGAGGGAAACAGAGGTGACTGTCAATTGGAAGGAAAAGATCCCACACAAACAATGCAGTGAATCAAATAGTAAGACTGGAGAATATTGTGAAATGAAGAATATCAAATATAGGTCATTAATATTCGGAATATTACAGAAGAACATTTCAGAATAGAACTCTGGTTATCTCCAAAGAAATAGAGTTGCAATGCGATCAAGGATGTCTTAAGCATATACAGCACCATGGTGCAAAGATCCCTCCAGCGCCCCCCCCCCGCCGTTTCCAAGAGTTGTCAACCTTTTTTAAGGGGGGGGACCCCAAAGTTGTTGACCTTTTTTTTAGGGAGCTGGCACCACGCTTACACATTATCTCTAACAACAGGCCCTTAGAACAAAATAAAATGAAAAGGCAGAAGAAAATCTAATTCCAAAGCAAGACTCATTCAAGACTCATAAGTTCTTCTAATTCATCCTCATGATTCACATCACCACACATCAAAAATTTAAAGCAATCACCAACTTGTTCTTTAAATAAATTGATGAAGACACAGAGAATGAAGCTCCTGGCCAATTTGTGTTTAAGTACAAACCCACACCCACCTTAAAACCCACACCCACTTTTTAAGGACTTTTTGTTGGTGAATGTTCGTTTTTAACCACTAACTGCATGGAGAACACGCTCTCAAGTCCATCCTTACCTCCGAACTGAGTCCTAATGGTAGTGCGCCCCCCCCAGCTTTCCCCTCCCACCACCCCAAATCTGAATGTATCCCTCCTCCACCTTTTTCCTCGACAGAAGGGGTGGGGGGTGACGTTTTCGGCACGCCCCCTCCCTGCCCCCTGCGATGGGCAGCTCAAGGCTTGCTTGCCACGCGGGCGTTCTCAGCAGTCCCGCTACTGCCACGGGGGGGGGGGGGCAGGAGGGAGAAGGGCACCGCGTAGATTTGTGCCGCTGCCACCGCTGCCTCCTCTCCCAGGCAGGAAGCAAGAGAGCACGGCTGGCCATAGGAAGAGCCGTCGTCACTACCCAGCATGCCCTCGCGGCTGTTCCTGGTCAGTCCTGGACTCCTGCTGCTGGGCACCCCTGATGGGCAGGCACTGTGGCACAGGGTGCCACTAACCCTAATGGGTAAGATGGCCCTGAATGCAATTTTTGTTGTGTTGATACAAGATCATTAGCTCAGAATAATTTATAGATGTTCTTAACACCAAATGCATAATGAAATCCTA